CCTCCAGGCCAAGGCGGGTAACCCAGCACAGCCGTGCGGCCCAATCACGGCCGGCGAACGGGTGAAGATCTGCCGCCCGGCGCTTTCTGTTTTGCGTGTGGGGATTTCTGGGGCCGGGCAGATTGTGCTCGTTCGGGCTAAAGCGATAGGGTCTACAAATTGCCCCAGTAGTAGCAACACAGATGTCTGGGCAGTTTACAGCGAAACCAGAAAAGGGTTGTGCCCCAGGCCTATGACCATGATGATCACCATCGTGATGATGATGATGTTTGTCACCACCCATGTCATCATGATTATCATCATAGCCAGCCCCTGCGCCCCACGCGATGCCTAACATGCAAATTACAGCGCGGAAGGAAAATGATTTGTTGACGACGATTCGATGATGACGTTCACAGCACGATGATGATAACAATCGTGTAGCACCTCCCTATCCCTAGCGGCGCCTTGTGTCAATGATAGTCATCACCCATGTCACTATGATATCATCGTAGCAACCCTTGCATCCCAAGCGATGTCTAAAGTTGGTGATGACTATGGCGATGATAATGGTGATGGTGATGATGACCACCAGCATGGTGACATCGTAGCATTTCGCGCACCGCTGATGATTAGCGTCACCCATGTCATCATGACTATCACCATGGCGGACCAAGTTGAGTTTTGCGCAAAGCGTTTACAGCGGATGTGACCATGCTTTCCATGCGCCTGGCCCTTGTAGACAAGGGGTTGGCGGAGTATGTGTGTGTGTGCGTGGCGTGTTGCTGATTAGTCTTTGTCAAGGAGACCTGATTGTGGATGGCCCAGACCGGCCATTTAATTCAAGCTTAAGCAGGAAGATGTGTCGCAACCGCGAGTATTTTCAGGTTTTGACAAGGTTTGCAGAAGTACATATGACATAACATTCAACATCCCCACTGTCAGCTGTCATTTTATGTGTTTGGCAAGCCTGAACTTGGGGCCTTGGCGTTCGGTAGACGTATAGATGCGGACCGCCTGCCGGACCCTCGGTCTGAAGTTTCACGGCGCGTGAACGGCAAAAGAGTCCGCAGAAAGGCGCAGTGCGTTTTCTAAATCAAGGGGCCTGTGCCCGCTGAGGGGGGGCCAGAGGGATACCACCGTGTTTCAATTCAGGTGTTTAATCCATTGATGAGTTGAACGCTCTCCAAGCCTGAAGCATCCTGATGCTGAGATTTAGATGGAGATTCGCAGAGACTCGCAAGTTGACTGGCCAACAGTAGGTCTATCAAGGGTTTCAGTGAAGTTCTTGCTGCTGCAAGCGCTTTCCTATCTGGAGGCTTGGAGGTGCAATTGCGCCGCATGCTTGGCCAACCGGAGCCTGTCGCCTTGTTGTTTCTGTAGAGGGCGATCGCCAGACGAGCGCTGGATTGCTACAAAGCACCGCCAAAGATCTTGGAAGGATGACTAGAAGTCGCTGGAGCAACACGAGATCATCACTGGCCAGCGCGGGAGCACTAGAGGAGGCAACAAGAGAGTGGCACTAGACGATCGCTGAAGGTATCAGGGAGCACTAGAGAGGCACTGGAACATCACCTGGAGCACCGCAGGACCACTCGAGGAAAAGCGTTCGAGGAGAAGCGCTACTAGGACTAGAGAACCCGCAAGCTAGTATTTTTTCAGAAGTTGTGGGCAGGTGCACTAAAAAGTACTGGGTGTCAGCGTTTTGGAAGAGTTTACCAGAAGATTGCTAGAGGGCGACAAAACGCGTGCTGGAAGAATATGAGGGAGCAATCTAGCCCTCCACTTCTCCTCTAGTAGCGCACCCAACCCAAAAGCGGCTGCACAGATCCTACCCGAAAGAAACCAGCCCTCACTCAGCTTTACTTAGACTCCAAACCTCTGATCAGGCAGCTCCTACGAAGCTTCCGAACTCACATCTACATAAGCAATCCTCCCCCAGCTGCTTTCTGGCTGCTGGATTAATCGACCACTTGTGTAAAAGGCAAGCGCTCCTTTCATTTGTTCTTAACACGAAAGGCAAGGGACCCGCCTCTCCAAACCACCCCGAACCCCTTCACAGGATCTGACCAAGCTCAGGGCGCGCAGACCGCAGAACTTCCGCATCTGATCTCACAAGCCTGGGAGTCACGCTCCAAATGCCTTTCAACTTGGCCCACGCTTGTCACCTTCCACACCTCAGGCCTTTGCAAATTCCTGTGCTGCAACAACGCCCCCTTGGCCGACGCCAATCATAAAATGTGCTGCAGAAGTCAGGAGATCAACCCAGCATCGTTTGACCTTCCTGTTCCTTGGATTCTGGAAGCTTCCCTGTCGAAGTGACCCTCAAACGCGCCATAACTGGGACGCGCTGAGACTGACCAACCGGGCATCTCAAACCCTCCCGGAAGCGCAGTTTGTCAATCGCGTCGCACACGCCGCGCGCGCCCGCAAAATCTCCCACCCAGCGGCACAAATTTCCCAACCACGTTTCCAAGTGTCCCAAACGCCACAGTGTTCGCAACTGTCCCGAGTGTTCAGTGATCCGATGCCCCCCAGGCGACCTAATCTCACCGGAACATCCGACCGGAACGGCCAACGCTTGGAGACCAAGCGTGCGGAGACCAAATTGCAAGTCGCGACTGTGCTTCCAGGATGAGATCGGGTGGGATGTGGTTTCTGAGCGTCGCGCCGCAGTGGAGCCGGTCGCTGTGCGACGGTGGTCGAGCGTTTCTTGGTGGAATCCGGGATGGGAGCGTTCGTGCGCGTGGGGAACCCAAGCGGTAAGACTCGTCACAGGACTTGCGAACGCTTGCGCGCTGGGAATTTGCCAACGGCACAGACTGTCCGCACCCACGAACACTCCTACCCCGCAAGCGCAACCGTCAAACAACACGGCCACCGACGGAGACCAATCGCATCGGGGATGCTTTTTGGGAAAAATAGGGCTCGCAAATCTTCCCCTTCAACGCTACATCTCCAGCTCTAAGCCCCAGATTCCTCTTTACAACAAAGCAACAATGCCTTGCCCTCTAAAGAAAAAAGCAGGGCCTCAAGAAACAACAAATCTTCTCTCAACACTGCCTCACCGGCCCTGAAGCGCCAGGTTCCATCATTCCAGAGCCCACCTGGCCTTGCTTTTTGCAAGCGCCCTGGCTCTAAACAACAAACAACAAATCGCCTTGCCCCACTACCTTTCTCGCCCTGCAACATGCAGCAATCAGCCTCAGAATCATCGTCCATAAGCACAAGGACCTTCAACCTGTTAGCTATCAGCAACTTTCGAAACCTCCTCACCCTCCACCAGTCAACCCTAACCAGCCCACAGCTAGCCCCCTCAAGGCATTGGAGGAGCGCGAGGCCCCATCCAAACCTAAAACATAAACCAATCCCAACCAAGCCTGAACCAACCTAAACCACAAGCCAACTCTAAACCAATCCCGAACCAATCCTCAACCAACCCTCAACCAAATCCGCCGTCAAGCTAGCCCGCTCTGACCGCAGGAGCGTTACAAACCCGCCCCGAAATTTCATCCTCACCCTAAGAAAAAACAACCCGAAACCAATCCTAAAGCCATCCTCATGCAACCCTTGACCAGCGCCAGCCAGCCCTAAAGCAGGCCTGCCCTGACCGCCGGAGCACGAGAGGAGCACCAGCCCAACTTAGCCCCAAGCCCGAAATGAATCCGAAACCAATCGTCCAACAACCATCCACCAGCCCTCAACCAAACCAGCCGAAACCAAAGCCCGCCCTTAACTAAACCAATGCTCAAGCCAGTCCTCAAGCCCTCAAGCCAGCCTGCCCTGACCGCAAGAGCGCCAGACGATCAAACCCAGACCCGAAACCAATCCTTGATCACCCGCCCTGAAGCAATCCCGCCCTGACCGCCAGAGCCCCAGAAGAGCACCAGCCCCAAAACCTGAACTTAACCCTGAGCCCTAAACCAACCCTAAACAAATCTTAAACCTCCTCAAGCAATCACAGCCACCTCAACCAAACCAGCCCTAAAGCATCCACAGCCCGCAACCGAAATAGCCGAACCCAAGCCCGCCTGCCGAGGCATCGCAAGCCTTAAACCAACCCTAAACTAATGCTAAACCTGTCCTCGAGTAACCATCAACCAGCTCAACCAAACCAAACCAACTCAAAACCAATCCTCAATCAAGCTGCCCTGACCCCCAACACCCCAGCCAGAGAAGATCAGCCCTATGCCAACCCACACTAGAGCCCCACCCTTAGCCAGCCAGCCCTGGAGGAGCACTAAGCCCTACAAACCCTTAAGCCATAAACCAATCCAACCAAGCCTAAACCAAGCCTAAACCCACCCAATTCTCAACCAATCCTAACCATCCTAAACCATCCCTCAACCAAACCCCTAAACCAACCCCTAAACCAACCCCAAACCAATCCCAAACCAATCCTCCAAGACACCCCTCACTAGAGCACGCAGCGATGGAGGAGCACTAGGCTGAAAAACAATGCGAAAACCACAGGTTGGGCCCCCAGACTCGAACCTGGGCTTTTTGAACCTCGATCAAAGAAAGCATTCATTAGTTCAATGGCGGAGGGCTTGTTTTTGGTAGAGGGCCGCCGCTGGGAGTTGAACACAAGTTTTCAGGGGAGGATATGATCAGTGAATTGCCACATTTTCACTTCGAAGCATTTGGTGGCAAGGCATTTCGGCTTAGGAAGTGGTGACTTTGAGAAGAGAGGGTTTCCATTTCCGGATAATTAATATTGCAAAGCATGATGGTTCTCTTAATTGTTGGCTCTCCTAGTATTTACCTCGGCTACATAGATTTGCTTCATGTGTACTTGCCGGCTCTTGCGTAGACACACGTGCTTGCACAGACGCTCAAGCAGCAAAATGCAGACGCAAGTATTCACTGGGTGTTGGGCTTTCGATTGCACGCACTTTGTGCCTGACATGCTGCATGTTGGCAAAGAGGAATCTGGGGCAGTGGACAGGAAGCGCTGCTTGGGAAATCGGCCAGCAACAATGAGCCCAGCAGTGCAGTTCAGCCACGCCAAGTCAAGCGATTGCTGTGCCATTAGGGACCATGATTTTGCAGACGGCGCTGGGTGCCAGCGTGTGGCGCTTCCTGTTGCATGACAGCTTGGGCCGCCTGCTTTTGGCCAACGCCCTTCTGGCAGCCTGACGCTGATGGCTTTCATGGGGCTGGGGCTGAGGGTAGCAAGCCAGGTAATGCAATGTCACATGCCAGTTCGCGAGGGGCTGAGGGACAAGAGGTTACACAAGTCAACTTGATCGACACCTCAAGATAAGGCAGCTCTGTGTGGCAATCATGAGTAAATGAGGCAGTTGAAGCATAAGGCTGAGCTCCTCTGAATTCGGTTACATGTTATGGGTGGAGTTGCTTTGCGCGACGCCGGTGTACGCCGATGAGCGCAAACCAGGAAGCCCATACTGAGCACTTCCCCGCTTTACTGGAAGAGTGCTTACCTGGTCCAACCGTGTGCTACGACTTGAGGCTGCCCTCTTCTTAGCCGGCAGCGCGCTGCTTTCGATGCTTCCTGGCCCCTTGGCCCAAGCCAATAGGGCGTATTCTCTTTGATTTCCCTCTTACACGGCATGTTCGCATCCAGGTGTGTGTTTGGCGGACCTGGGTTGGCTGGGCGCAACCGTTCATAGACAACGCTTGTCAATGTTGCTTTTGGGGACTGGGAACAGGAGGACAGTCTTTGAGCGAGTTACATGCAACGAGTTAAACTGTTGAGTTGCAGTGCGTGTTTGGCGCGGGCGAGCTGATGATGCGAGGAGTACTGCTGCACTTCCATGAGCGCCGGAAATGGCTTGTCTCCATCGCAGTAGCGCAAGCCACTATGTGTGAGGGGATCTGGGGTGTACAACTGATGTTATCCCGACATTGTGGAATCATGCGGGGCCCATTCCATAGTGAAGGCTTGCTAATTATCCTCGCTGGCTGCTCGGCACGTGCGCGGGGATAGCTTTGTGGATTGTGATTTGGGTTCGTGGCCTCTACCAGGTTTTTTCCCATTGTTTACGGACAGCCTTGAATCAGATCCACAGTGTGCCAAGTTCTGAGGTGGTGTGGCAGGCGCGATTTGGAGGACGATGGCCGTCGGCATGCTTGGCGCCGTGGCTGGAGGCTTATGAAAGCTGGCGGCGCAGCCTAGCAGTAGATACTCTGGCCGCATGAGCTAAGAAGGTCTTTGGTGTCGCGAGGACAAGCTAACTCAGCGCGGGTTTTATCGGCTTTTTCACGCCGTAGTAGCGGCGTTTCAGTTTCCCGCGCGAGTTATCGCGGCCGTTCAGCCGATGCCCACGAGCGCACGCGGCCGAGAACATCTTCAGCTCGCATCCTCCAACTTTCCTTGCAGCACGTGCGTGGAGTTTGATGAACGCAGCTCAGATTGATTTGAGACCCAGGACCAGGGGTCAATGTGTTGCTTGCCCAGGAGGTGGAGTTGGCAGCGCGTGTGTGCGTGTGTGGATGCTTGTGTTGAACTGTTTGAATTTGCCAAGACAGATTGAGGCCTGAAGGGTTTTGTACTCTGGGCTGTGACCGTTGTTTGTTCTTGTTAGCGACCAAGCGATAAACATTCTTGTTGCGCCCGCTCGCAATTGGTAGTTCCTTTGTCACAGAGAATTAAGAGAGCCTGAGGTGCCTCCGGCTATCTGTATTTTTCCCTGCTGAGCTTTGGCAAAGTTCAAGCCTTTGTCGGGGCCGGCGAAGATTTGTGACTTGAATGCAGAGTATCGAGACAACTGTTTGCCACGTGCGAGTTTCTCGTGCTGGGACTGGTTGCTACGAATGCTGGGGAAGTTTGATTGCAGGTGGGTTTGCCTCAGCGCGCACGCACGTTCTCAAATGGCTGAGTTGCGTTTTGTTAGAGCGGCGTCCTCTCTGACAAGGCTTGATAAAGTCGCATGTTCTCGCCTTGCCCCATGTCACGGGCAGTGAGCAGTGTGAAATTATGGCTGCGTGTTGTTGGTCTATGCACGCTGGCGTCACAGCTTGGGCTACAAACTGACGAGTGCTGCTTCGGCGAGGCTTCCTTAGGCCAACTTGTTCGCATGTGTGTGTGTGTTTGAGCTTGTGTGTGGGTTTGCTTGTTTGGGGCCTTTGTTTATAGATTTTGTTTTGCTAGCAGGGGCTCTACCACAGCCAATTGAGGTGTGGTTTATGAATGCGCACATGCTTGCCAATTGTTAAGAACACCTGCTCAAGAGCACCCGCTCAGCGCTGCGCACGTGCTGGCCAGCTTAACTGTTAAGCGCGCCCGCTCTGGTAGGTCTAAATCCCACACGAAACGCGAATGGGCGTGCCAAAGGAGACCCCCTTTTTTGCACTGCTCGGGCACTAGGTTCGCAATGAGGATTTCCATTGCGTGTCGGTTCAACAATGCATCCGGGAACTGCCCCCGCCCCCGGATGGGGTGTGTGTGTGTGTGAGTCTTTGCTTATGCGTGTGAGTGTTTGCTTGCTTGGGTATGTGGTGAGTTTGCCTGATGTGCTTGAGTGTGTGTGCGCGCATGCGCGGTCAAGTGTGGCGAAGTGTGGTGTAGTGGTGCGGTGTGTAGTGAAAAGTAGCTTTGCGCAGTGTAATGTAGTGTGTGTAGCGTAGCGTAGTGTGGTGCAGCTGAACTTGTGGTGTGTGTGTGTGTGCGTGTGCGTCTGGGTGCTCGCGTTTGAAGGTGTGTGTGTGTGTGTTTGCTTGCGTGCCTGCTTGCCTGCATGCCTGCGTGCCGAGGTGCGCGCAGGTGTGTTTTGCGAGTGCGTGCGTGCGTGCGTGAGTGCGTGCGCGGGAGTGTGCGTGCGTGGGTGGGTGCGTGTGGGTGTGTGTGAGACGGCTTGAGACCAAGAGCTTTGGGGGCTCGAGCACCTTCCGCGCAGCTCGGGCCAACATGGAGCCCGGAGACGGGCTCCACATACACAGGGAGCTTTCACAGTGTGTGTTTCCCGATGTGTTGTCCTCGGATCGACCGCTCGTGAGCCTTTTGCAAGGCCTATCGTGTCAACACTAGTCTTGACTGCTTTGAAGTGATTCAAAAGCCCTTGATCCATTTGACGGTTTGACGCGATTGCTCAACCTTGGGCTGCGTGATGCCTTGATCTGTTCTGACATGAGTCATGTTGCTTTGATTGAGCCTTTCGGCGCCAATTGGAGCACCCACTTGTCTTGTTCTACGGTGGTGGCCGGTGAGCCACCTTCGGCTTGCCAGCTGCCATGGGCACTTGCGGGCTGACGTTTGAATGTTTGCTTGAGACCCGAAGCCTTGTGAGAGGCAAGGCGCACGCAGACCTTCCGCGCAGCTCGGGCCAAGGACGCTCTGCGCGGTTGGTCAGGATACGGGGCCCGGACGCGGGCTCCACGCACCTGCGGGCAAACTTCTTGTACACCTCACGGAAAACTTTTGGCGGCATGTGTGTGTGTGTGTGTCTGTGTGTGTGTCTCTGTGTGTGTGTGTGTGTCTGTGTGTGTGTCTGTGTCTGTGTCTGTGTCTGTGTCTGTGTCTGTGTCTGTGTCTGTGTCTGTGTCTGTGTCTGTGTCTGTGTCTGTGTCTGTGTCTGAGTCTGTGTCTGTGTCTGTGTCTGTGTCTGTGTCTGTGTCTGTGTCTGTGTGTGTGTGTGTGTGTGTGTGTGTGTGTGTGTGTGTGTGTGTGTGTGTGTGTGTGTGTGTGTGTGTGTGTGTGTTTGTGTGCGTGTGTGCGTGTGTGCGTGTGTGCGTGTGTGCGTGTGTGCGTGTGTGTGTGTGTGTGTGTGTGTGTG